TTTTTTATTAATTTTTTTAAGCCACATCACTATTTAACGGAAGAATTGACAAACAAATTGACGGAAGGTACGAAATTGTAACAAATCGTAAGATGAGGTATGACATTGAAACTTTTTAAAGACGCGGTATGAAACTGTGACTGACCTAATAGTTGAGGTAGTTTTATGTAATTTACCCCAATATTTAACTAGGCAAAAACACCTGAAATTGAAATATTGATAGGCAATCCTCCCAACCCTTAAAAACGTGTCAATGACGAGAGATTCTCTAATCTCTCATGCAGCTAAGATTTAATTTTAGTAGCGTTAATGTTCAAGAACTGCTTACTACATGTTTAAAAAGTGCATTACCCGTTGTTTGGACCCAACACCCATACAATAAACGAATGTCACATGATGAATTGGTGACATGAGAGAGCCTCTTGTCGATGAGTTACAACGACAAGGTTATCACAAACTATAATACTTAATTAGTTTAGATCCTCGAAAAACTAATAAAAATAGTGAGAGACGCTTAATAAATTAAATTGGTGTAATAACACTTCAGTTCAAGAACATATTTATTTTTTAAAAGGGTGCTTTTAAGTGTCTTAACTATGACAGATTTAAGCTTAATCAAGTTAGCTAGAGTAACGCACTCCTCTTTCTGCATCCACATTCGAATCTTCCTCTATACTATATATGTGCAAAACTTGCTATGCAAAATAGGTAATTAAGAAATGTTTATTGTGTGTGTGTGTGAATGCGGTGGGTTGAGTATGGAGATAAAAGTATCATGAAAAATGGAAGAAAGATTGAAGAGCAAGATGGGTGGCCTTTGGATTTAGATGGAATAAAAAAAAGATTGAAGGTGTTTAGAAAAGACAAAGGATGTCAGGACACAAGGTGGGTTGGGAACTTGGGTGCTGTGATTGCCCAACTTTCTACTCTTATATTAGTCCTGGGTTCTAGAGGGTGTGGACCCAAACCCAATATGCTCCTTTAGTGACCGTTGTCTGAAGCGGAGCAAACATTATGTCTTTTTTTCATTTTTCATTTTTCAGTTTTTCATTTGTAAAATAAATAAATAGTAAATTATGAGCTTTGTTGTTTATTTCTTTCTATTTTACTACTTGGAAGTCTTGAAGTGATCTTTGTGTTACAGGACTTCAATAACGTGTCATAATACCATTACTATCTGATAGTCAACATAATGATTATAAATAATAACTTAATAAAGGCAACAAAAGATTGACAGTTTTTTAATGAGTTTACGAGCTTAATTTAAAAATAAAAAATAAAAAAATAGTTCATATGGTTAACTTTAGAAAGTAAATTAGCATTTAGATTCACAACTTATATGCAACATTATAGGACTATGGGACGGTCCATCATAATCTACCACAATATCACTGATATTATTTCAATTTAACCACCTATTTCTATGTATTGTGTTTTGTTACAAAATGCTTCAGCGTTATTAGGTGTAAAACCTCCCATATAGTAATTGTAATTTTTTTTTTTTTTTTTTTGTCATATGCTTGATGTGGAATTCTATTCTCCAACCAAATGTTTGAACTACTTTTTATTGTTTTGTTTTTGTTTTTTTTTTTTTTTTTTTGAACAAAGATTCTACTTTTGTTGTTGAACTGGTTATCTTTTTTGTTATAAGTCGTCCAAAAGCTAGTTACTTTCCATTTATAACATAGTTGATCACTTTCCATCGTGGAATACCACAACAAGTTTTGAGGATTTTGTTTTTTCTTATACAAGCGATAATGGGAGGGGTGAATCTGACATGAGACTTCTAGGGCAAAAGTAGTTTACCATTTGATTTACATTAGCTTCTAAGATTTAACCCTCGAAAATTCAGAATGTAAAATTTAAATTCTAAGCAAATGCATGCCAGTCGTTAGTAAAAAGAAAAAAATGAAAAAGAAAACCGATTCGAGTTTGTAGGTAATTAAAACTAAACATGACCCATATATAAATTCAAGAAGTGTCTGTTTTTGCGTCTAAATAACATAACTCGTGTTTAAAACTAAAATCCTCTTACCAGCGTAGGTCTGAAAAGCACTTGTGCTTGCATCTTTATTGGTTACATTTTTTCTAGGGCTCCTATAAAAAGTATTTAATAAAAAAAAAAGCCTTTAGTTTTTTATTTTTATTTTTTAACAAACAATATTATTTACATTAACAAGAGAGAGATGAATTTAGTCTCACAAAATATTATTATTATTAGAAAGTTGTTATTTGCATTAGAGCAACTCCAGCGTTGGAGCTCTCCCCCAGACTATTCACTATTCAATCCACCTGATGAACAGTAACTGCCCTTAATGAACAGTAATTGCCTTTTGCATCTCCACCGTTACACTTCAATAGCCCTGACAATAGGCAATAAAATATTAGTATTTTTTTTATGTATAAAATAATACAAAATAATTTTTAATTTTTTTTCCTTTTTTTTTCCTATTCCTAATCCTTTTCATTTTAATTTTTTTTCCTATTCCTTAACCCTTTCATTTGACCGGTTCCTCACCTACCCTATCTCTCATTTCCAATCTCACCTGTTGATGCCCTATCTAATGGTTGTCATGAAATCATAACAAATAACATCACAAAAAGCCAACAGGTGGCAAAATTAAAAAAAAAAAAAAAAAAAAAATTTGATCTCTCATCTGCCCCTCAACCTAGAAGAACCTAGAAGCTCAGAGCCAGAAAACGAGAGAAAAGAACCCAGAAGCTCTTCTCTCTTTCTCTAGCAAGAAGCAAGCCATAGTTGATGGCTGTCAAGATACGATATCAACTGGTATGTCATTGATCCTCACTTTTTTTTTCTCTCTCTCTCTCTCTTCCTCTCTACCGACGCAACCTTTCTCTCTCATTTCTGAAACCTCTCTCTCTCTACAGCTTCGAGAGCTCTCTCCTCCCTCTTCTTCGAAACCGAAGCAAATCAAACTAATAAACTCTGAAATCTCAATCTCTTACATGAGAGGAACTCAAATATATCCTTGCATGCATCATCAGAGCACCATTTGGGTGATCCACCATTGAAGCCGAGAGCTTCAAGCTTCCATTGCTCAAACCCAGATGAGGTTATTGCCCTACTTCAATTGCTTGAGTTATTCTTTGGTTTTTTTTTTTTTTTTTTTTTTTTCTTGTTTGATTTCTTGTTTAATTTAATTTTCTGAAATTGATTATGCATAGTTGATGTTTTTCGTTTGAATTGAGGGTTTCGGATGGGGAGATGTCAAGCTCAGCGCATGCACCGATGCCGCACATCAGCCATACGTCACACAGCCCTCAGGCTCTCGGGCGAGCGATTCCTGTCGGACCTCTCCCTCGGGCCTGCTCGAGCTCCCTCGCCAGCACATGCTGGACCACCTTCCTCGGGCTATCTGGCCCTGTTTGAGAGCCAGTCCATCGGGCTATTGCCCACGGTGGAACTGCTCTTAAGGGGGAGGGGGGTGGGCTAAGCCTTATAATAGACTAACAATAATATGGTTCATATTCACCTTTGGCTAGAATTGAACTTAAAACCTTTCACTTACAAGTGAAAATGAATACCACTAGAAGTTAGTACTAAGTAGCAACACTTTTCTATTGTTATTACTATTATTATGGTGGGTCCATCACCTTTAGTTGTATTATTTATTTATTTTTTGGTCAAATTATCATCGTGTCGGATAGTATTGGAAACTTTGCAAACTTGCTCTCGGCACGCGCCGCCGCTATCTGCTTCCGTAATATTAGGGTTCACAGAGAGGGGGGAGAACGACTGCAATCAGTCTATTAGGGTTAGGGTTTTGGAGCATTAACCAGTCCTTTCGTACCCATTTGTCTCAGTTTCATCACAATGTCTTTCCTTGAAGAACTTAAACTTCTGTCTTTCTCTCTCTAATTTTACATAACTCTCTTGAATTTCAGCTTCAATTTGATTATATGCAATTGAGAACCAATCAATTATATTCCTTGGTCAGATAATTATTTTCTGTATCAATTAAGTGATTTGGGGTTCAATTTTTGTTTAATTAGTTTTAATCTTTTGTGGGAAACAAAAACTCGGTTTGAAGGTTGAAGAAAATGTTCAGAAACCCAAATTGACGAAAACAAACCAACACAACAAATTAACGTGAATAACAGTCTTAAACCACACATCATGAAATTTCTTCCGAAAGACTTGGAATCCGGAGGCAGTAATGAATCGAATAACACGACTGTTATCCAGGGAACTTCAAATCTCTGATTCTCTTTTACAATTCAAAGCAATGCTTTCACAGTTTCACTGTACATGTTTGTAAAATGTCACATTCGTTGTTTTCCAAACCTTCCGAAATCTATGCTGAAAATACGAGCGAGTGCAAATCATCCGTACGGATAGGAGAGAAACTTTTCACAGATTTGGAATCTCTGCCTAATATTTTGGCTAAGAATTATTCGGTGACGCGCACTCTAGATCGAAGTTTACAAGATCAGCTCTCTTTGCATTAACATAGAACATAAAACCTGTAAAAGTTATGCATGCAGAAACTCAATTAGGCTCCCATCTGCTTTGTGGGGTTTGCCAAGTAAAATGTTGTTTCTTATCTATACGAACAGATATCCAGGACAAAATGAACAATCTTGTTTATGATTTCATGCTTCTACCTTCCTCTTAGCTGAGCCAGCTGACGACAGAAGTCTAACTTTGCTCCCATGAAGAGAAGCCACTGCAGTGGTCACTATTGTATTGACGCGCAAGATCCTCCTGTTTGCCAACGCCATTCCGGCTTGTGACAGACTGAAGCATTCTTTTTGGTTCCGAGGGAAGGAAATCAAACCCTTGACCTAACCTAATCCTAAGAAAAAAATATACTAAATTGCATAGGAAAGTAATACAGTTTTATTTGAAAACATGGCTGGATACAATGGGATTCTTGTTCCAACGCCAACTCTGTATCCTCAACTTGTTGATCTCTCAGTAACTAAGCAATGCCTCATGACCAAACCTAATGAAATCTAAAATGGCTATAACACCCTGCTGCTCATCTTGCAAGTGGATTTTGTGAAGTCAAAGGGTGGGTTGTGAAATGAGTGGGAAAGGGAGGCCCTCAGTAATCCATTCCACCCATGCCACCACCCATACCGCCACCCATAGCCGGGGTCTCCTTTTCACTGGGAAGCTCAACTACAACAGCTTCAGTAGTCGTGAGCAAAGATGACACACTGCGCACAAAAGGCAACAAAAATCAATGGATGAGGAATCGTAGCTAAGCTAATAAGATTAAAACACAGGTCTACTAGGGCTTGACCTTGCAGCATCCACTAAAGCAGTTCTAATTACTTTCAATGGATCAATTATTCCAGCTTTAATCATATCAACATATTCACCTGGTTAAGCAATGGAAAAAGAAAAACCAACCAAAATGAGTAACAGTGAAGATAAAATAGTTTCTGCAATGGATTGGCGGAAAAGTATTCTCGAAGGATTTCTTACCTTTGGCTGCATCATAGCCAAGATCAGCGTTATCTTGCTCCAATAGCTTACCAACAACAACAGCTCCCTCAACTCCCGCGTTAGAAGCAATTGTATGAACAGGTGCCTACACAACCAACATGACTTAGAACAACAAACAAAATGCAGCAATGGGTTTTAAGTAGAACTCAAAAACTAAATTCCATTACTTGATAAGATGGCGATCATCAAGGCCAAACTTTAAAAACTAGCAGAATATACAAACCTTTAGAGCATTCTGAATAATCTGAACTCCAACCTTCTGATCAAAATTAACAGTTCGGAGCTTTTCCAACTCTTTAGATGCATAAAGAAGAGCAACACCACCACCTATAAAAGGAAGATAGTTATAAGATTGTCGACACAAATAGGCAACATCAAACAAAAGCAGCCAAAATGACAAAATAAATTACCTGGTACTATACCCTCTTCAACGGCAGCCTTAGTGGCATTTAAGGCATCGGTAACCCTATCCTTCTTCTCACTAACTTCCGCTTCACTAGCTCCTCCAATCTGCAATATAAGCAAATCTCACTACTGTTTACCACCGATTTTATCTACAGTATCATTTACTAACACATACAACTAATACAAGGAAACTCGGCCATAGACGTTTGTCGATTCACTTTTATCGTTATTATGATTGTTAACAACAACTATAATTAATTTACAATGGGGTAAAATGAGGAAGAAATTATAAGAACACCGAAAAATTGATGGCTACAACCCTAGAGGGATGAAGAAATACAGACGAGTTTACAAAGCTTACTAAACACATACCTTCAAAACGGCAACACCACCAGAAAGCTTTGCGAGTCTCTCCTGTAACTTTTCCTTGTCATAGTCGGAAGTGCTTAATTCAATTGCCGACCTAATCTGTCACCGAAATAGAAGGGAATGAAGGTTAAGTACATATCTGAAAGCATAGTTGTAGATGACTCTATTTAAAAAGACGAAAAGGATTATCTACATCTTTTGTTACATAACTAAAATGCAAACCATTTATGTCAACAGTTCCAAAATTGGACTAAAACTAATCCCAAGGAAGTAACACAAACCTGTTCAGATCTTTCGTCAATGGCCTTCTTGTCACCAGCACCATCAAGAATTACAGTGTCATCTTTTGAAACTGTGACCTGAAGCATTAGCCCACATATTACCAGATATTAGGACAGTGAAGGAAAAATTGGACACAATGAAAAGTAGTTTAAAATTGATCAGGAAATTCCATTAATCCAAATTCAAATAGATATAAACCAAATGTAGAACATCTTCTCAATGAAGTACACGCCATGGTTAGGCTGCCAAAGCAGATAAAGCACAAGTGTACCAAAGTTGACCTTTTTGCAACTTCCGAGCATATCCAATTCCACTTTGTCAAGATTCAGACCAAGCTCTTCAGTAATAACCTAAAATACAAAAGCGATTTTCATTAACTGGTCACAATAAAAATACAAAAGAGATGAAATTGATAGGGTCACACCATAATGATACAAAACTAACAATTAAAAGAAAACTTACAGAACCCCCAGTAAGAACGGCAAGATCCTGGAGACCGGCTTTCCTATTTTCACCAAAACCAGGGGCTTTGATTGCACAGACCTGTAGCAAATTACATTAGATTAACAAATGCTGCCATCCCTACATGAAGAATCAAACTAGGAAAGGAAAAAGAAGCACAAACAGGAGAGAAAAAGGACTAAAAGCAAACCTTGATACCAGCACGAAGCTTATTTAGAATAAGAGTTGCCAGCGCATCGCTCTCTACATCTTCTGCGACAATCAGCAAAGGCCTTTGCTTCTGAACAGAGCATCAAAATTTATTCAACCCATTCATATTAAAAAAAACAAATAAAAATGAATGAAAACTGATGAGCTAAACCAGAGAAATGCTCACCTTCACAGCCAACTCCAATACTTTGACCACGGCATTAATATTTGAGATTTTCTTCTCATGGATTAGAATTAGAGGATCTTCCAATTCCTGCAAGCACACACACATGATATGATAAGTTAGATGCTAATAAGCATCAAGAAAAAAGAGATTTGAGGTGTGGACTAACTTGAACAAGCAGCCTCCGACAATTTCAAGACACGGTGATTGCTGAGTCAAACATAAACTTACACATTTCTGATTTTTCTGGTTGGTGATGAAATAAGGGGATATGTAGCCTCTGTCCAGCTTCATCCCCTCGACAACTTCCAACTCATTGTACAATGTTTTCCCATCCTGCAAACATTAACACAACCTAACGCTTACATGTCTTGGGTATCATTAGGGACTAAAATATAAGATATAAGCATCATCGGCTTTTACTTATGACTCAATCTAAGCATGACTTAGACTATATAACTGGGACAACAAACCAGCCAGAGAATAACCACGAGAGTTAAAGTTAACTTACAGAGATTGTGATTACTCCCTCTTTTCCAACCTTCTCCATGGCCTTTGCAATCAACTCACCAATTTCTCTCTCTCCATTCGCTGATATTGTTCCAACCTATCAAAGTTACAATACATAACCTTCAAATCCTCGAAAACCAAAGGAACTTAAACTGAAGAGAAAACAAGGCTGTATAAGAAAGTCCAAAATACCTGTGCTATCTCTTCAGAAGTGCTGATCATTCGTGCTCTGCTCTTCAAGTTTGTTACCACAGAATCAACTGCCGAAGTAATACCACGTCGCAGGTCCATTGCGTTCATCCCAGCAGCAACTGACTTGCATCCTTCAGTATAAATAGCCTTGGTCAAGATTGTAGCAAGTGTTGTACCTGCAAGAATAATTAAAAATTGTAATTACCAAGCCAGACAGAAATTTAAGCAATATCAATCCATTAAGTAATATTTAATTCAACCAAAAGAAAGAGAAAAAAAAAATGAACCGTCCACCCTGAGTTTCAGTTATGGAAACTAGTCCAAATGCAAAAGAAAAACATCGATAGACGATGATGATTGAATGATATATTCAAGCATAGGACTTACCATCACCCGCTACATCATTGGTAGCATTAGCAACCTGTTTCACTAGGCTAGCACCAACATTCTTGACTTTATCCTTGAACTCTATACTTTTTGCAACTGTTACACCATCTTTTGTCACTTTGGGTGCCCCAAAGCTTTGTTCAATAACCACATTACGCCCCTTTAGCAGCAAATAGCAACCATGTCAGTTTTTTTCAAAAAAAAAAGAGAAAATACAAGAACTCAACATACAAGTTCATTTTCACTATAAATAATAGCAAGACAATTAAACGAAGCAAATGTATAATCTATATCTTACTAACTACGAAAACAAAGACAAGCAACTATCGAAAAGCCTTTTAGCACTTAGATTCTCAATGTGCGATTTCCATTTATTTGATTGTAGTTTACCAACAAGATTTAATCCAAACATCTGGCTATTACAGTTCTTTCAATGAGTCCTGTGAAATAGCTTCCTTAATAACAGCAATAAAAATGTCAAAGCCTCCAATCGCAGTCTTAACATTGACACACACATTTACAAAGACCAGAACATAATGAAAATTCCCCTACTTTCATAACCATATTTATTATACTAAGGAGTTACAGTTTCAGTTTAACAAAATTTGAGTAAAGCACACCAGTAGATATAATTGTATGGTCAAGTTGAAGGAAACTACAAATAAATAAATAAATCTTTTGATTCAAATATAACGCAAATGTATAAAATTATCGGATTACACCTAATGCACATAGAGCACACTTATACAAAGTCAATGTGAAAGTTTTGTATAAGGTGAAAGGTAAATGGCCGACTAGAATGAGTCGTAGTGGAATCAGGTAGATAACCTTAGGTCCCATGGTGACTTTGACAGCATCCGCAAGCTCTTCGACACCACTGAGCATGAGGGCTCGGGCCTCCACCCCGAATTTAATGTCTTTGGCTGCATAGTTTCTGCTCCAACTCAGCCTACCACCAATCTGAAACACAAACCAAACACACAAAAACACATCAAACAGAGTTCTTTGTGAGGGAGAAAGCTTCGCATTTCTTTAACCGATAGACCCTTTTAAGCAAGCAACCAAAACGCACCTGCTTGGTACAGTTCCTGGCAACCCTGCAAACACAAAAAGAATAGATCTACATTAGCATTAAAAGGGCACAAAATATGACTCTTACAGAGAAAAATTGCATGGTAAACTTGAATTTTGGGCAATTTTTCATTAAAAAAATGAGAGTGAAATATCTTTTAATATTTATGTGGAACCGAACGAGTCAATTGAGAAAACGAAGAGAACCCAGAAGAAAGAAAGGGCAGAGATTGCAGAAAACGGTGGAAAGTACCGAGCTTTGGAAGCCAGGCTTGAAGCAAAGCGGTACATACTGAGAAGTCCGAGGTGGCAGAGTTAGAGAGATTGTCAGAAAGAGATTGTGAGGGTAGTGTAGTGTATGTACTTTTATCACTTGGGCGAGGAAGAGTCTAGAATCAGCCTGTCAAGTGTAGGGTTTCAGGGTTTTAGGGTCTTAGGGTCTTCCCAAGTCACAACTCGGTCTCACAGTTGTATCTAATTACATATACGCCCCTCAAGTTCAATATGAAAGTCGTTTTCTACTCTTGAAATTGTCACTTTAACACCTTGACATTTGAGTTGTCTCATTTTAACCAAGTCTTTTTGTGATTCCTCCTAACTTTTTGTGATCCATTTTTTCATTCCTATGTTTAAATCCGTTGAAATGTTCCTCACCCAAATATGCCTATTAAGGAATTCCCTCCAGCAAGTTGTAATCTAAGTTAGTGGTAGAACTATTAAGCGAGCAGGATGGTCCATTCTATATATATATATATATATATATATATATATATATATATATATATATATCCCCAACAAAAGAGATTTGATAAAAAGACTTTCTCAAGCAACTGTTTTTTCCAAATTTGACATGAAATCAGGTTTTTGGCAAATTCAAATTCATGAATCTGATAAGTACAAAACTGCTTTTGTGACTCCTTTCGGACACTATGAATGGAATGTAATGCCTTTCGGCTTGAAAAACGAGATTTTTAATCAATACAGCCATTTTTCGATTGTTTATATTGATGATGTATTAATTTTCTCAAAATCAATAGATGAGCATTGGAAGCATTTGCATGCATTTGCTAGGATCATTAAGTCTAATGGGTTAGTAGTCTCGGCATCTAAGATTAAGTTATTCCAGACCAAAGTTAGATTTTTAGGATACCATATTTACAGGTCTACCATTCAGCCAATTGATCGAGTCATCCAGTTTGCTGATAAATTTCCAGATCAAATTATTGATAAAACCCAGCTTCAGAGATTCCTTGGTTCTCTCAATTATGTTTCAGAATTTTATCCTCATCTTCGTCCTCACAAGCTTTGCCAGTTCATCAACAATTTCCTGAGTTGCCAAAAACCCAGGAGCCAATTCAATCCCTATCAGACATTAGTCCGTCATCTTCCCTCAAAGGAAAACCTGCTAAGTCCTCTAGCTCGAAGAAAGAAAAATCTGCAAAGTCTACCCAGCTTCTGGATATGGCCCAACTGCTCATGGCTGAAGCAGCAATGCTACAAAAAAGAAAAGGTTCAGATTCGGACTCTGACGCATCTGATGCCTCATCTCAACTTCCCTCCAAATGGGCAGATCAAGCAGATCTTCAAGATGCCCAAGATCCGTTTGATTATTAACATTCAGTATTTGCCCATGTGATTGTGCCAGCCAAACAACATCATCAGCAGTAGCTGCTTTCATCTCTTCCGTAAAAGAATTATTCTCCAATAGTGAAAAACAAAAAGGTCACTATTCACAATAGTGAAAAACAAAAAGGTCACTATTCATTTAACTTTTGTAAAAGAATCAAAGCATCTTCACTATTCATTCAGCTTTTGTAAAAGTATCATCGTGACTCCACAGTAAAGGTTCTTCAGTCAGTCAGCGGGATTCCCGGATCCATTTGGCAAGCCTCATTCAGTCTCCTCACTCTATATAAGGAGGACTCATCTTCAGAAGAAGCATATAGTTTTTTTTGTAAGAGAAGTAGGGTTGACAGGACGAGTATGAATGCGTTTCAAATCAAAAGTTGGCTGAAGATCAATGTTTTGAAAAGCATTTTCAATATTTTGGATAGCAGAACTAGTTTCCGTGTCCTGAGAAGAATCTGGGCCAGATGTGTTTTCTTCTTCGATGGAAACATCATTGTTTTGCAAAACATTAACAACTTTCTCTTTTTTGAGCTCAGTGAGCATATGATCAATTTTTTGTAAAGTAGTCATGGATTTTAAAGCAGTGGAACTTGAAGCGGTATCAGTAAAATTTACTAAAGGTTTTTCTTTTGGAGAAGAAATTGGTTGAGACAATTTGTCGATTTTGGTTTCAATTTTGTCTAACTGTTTTCCAATGGTGTGAAGACTTTGGTTTGTAAAATTGTTCTGTTCAATGACAGGTTTAAAACCAGAATCTTCTTTTGGAATTTTGAAAGGAGTTGCGGGGATGTTGGTATTACCAGTGGAAATTAAAATAGTTTCTTTGGGAGGATGACTAGAGGAAACCAAAGTTTTGTCTTCCTTAACCTAATTTTCTTTGGTAACAACCGTAACTTTATTTTTGGTCTCATAATGTTTTTCAATGAAATCAAAGAAAGATATTTCAAATTGGTATTGTTCTACAAAAGCTTTCCACTCGGCATAAATGGCTAGCTTTTCATCATCACAATACTTTTTTCTAAAAATATTTCTTCTGGGGATGTTTTCCTCAGAAGTGTACTATTAAATCTAAAAATATATATATATATTATAATAATGAAAACTACGACCAGTGAAGCAACATGTATATCAGTTTGGACATCTTTAATTTTTTATTTGTTGGATATTTCATATATGTACTTATGCATTTAGCTAGATTAGAGAATCTCTAGTCATGCTCTCAATTTTTTAATTTAATTTTAGCTAAAAATTACTTTAAGAGCTCCTAAATAAATTATATTCCAATCATACTCTCCAGTTTAGAAAATCATAGTAATTGCGGATCAATAAGAATAGAGTTTTTATTTAAAATATTGATAATTAATGCTAGAAACTTCTTTCTCACTCCATAGATTTAATAGTACATATTGTGTGAAAGATGTATAAATAGCTTCCTCTTTTTTCCCTTATTTTCTTTGTTTTATCTTTTTTCATTTCTTTTTTCATTTTCAAATTCGTTTCCCGGGAGATTATCTCTAACTTTACAAGTTGCAGCTTCCTCATGGTAATACAAATCCTCACTGTCACAACCAAGCATGCACTAAACAACTTCTACCCATTTTTGAACACCCCGACTTTGTATGTTCGAATCCACAACAAACATCAATCGACTACTTGATGTCTTTCTCTTTGCCAAAAATGCAAAACTGATACTTGTTCTCCTGAAAAAATATTGTGCGCACATCGGGGAAAAGACGTTTAGGATTTAGGACTAAAGAACAGAGTTTGCAGAGTATATCTTTACGAATTTTCAGTCAACTAAGATGTTTAGTATTTTTATGTCAAATTTTGGTTATAATTATTTAAAAAAATTAATTGGCTAAAATTCTATTTATGGGCCAAAATTTGGCTAGTTTTCCAAATTTCTCGTGTTCGGTGGGTGGAAGAGGGAGCTCTCGAGACGGTTATTGGTATTTAATTTACTTCTTTACGTTTATGATTTAATTATAGTTTTTCTAATCCTTTTTATTTAAAATAGCATTTAATAGTCATTTAGTACTAAGGTCTAATTGTATTTCTCTTCACTTGGAAGTGAAATAGCTTAGATTGAATTCTCACCATGGGCGAATTTGAACCACAATATGGCTAGCGCATTGTAAGGCTTAGCCCACTCCTTCACCCCTTAGTGTAGATAATATCGGTTGTTCGCCACTGAATACTATAGTCTGGTTGTAAATGAGAGGTTTTAGGTTTCAAATCTAGGTCGTGAGCAAAAATGCTCCATTTATCCTTTGTATCAATGTCTCAATCATAAGAATCAATTAGAGGATTCTTTTCTATAAATACGTATAAGTTTACACACACACACACACACACATATATCTACACTTAACAAACGATATTATTTACACTAAGGGGGTGGTGGGTTTATAGTCTCACAATGAGCTAGTAATAATGTGGTTCAATTTCTATTTTGGCGAAAATCGAACCTAAGACATCTCATTTACAAGTGAATAAGAATACAACTAATCCGTAGTACTAAGTAGCAAATACTTATGTATTTTAATTTTAAAAATTATCAATCAAAGAAATATTGAGCCATATTAGATTTGATTAATAGAGTCAAAGTGCTTATTAAGCAATCCATTCTTTCTTTAATTGATGAGATTTTTTTTTTTTTTTTTTTTTTTTTTTGAGGTGAAACGGTAGCGATTTTATTACGCAACGTTAATGTAACATATAATTTTTGAGGAGGGTATCCTTGATCAACAAGAATCAAAATCTGAATACAAAGTCACTCAGTACTACGGACTAGTAGTATTCATCTTCACTTGTAATGTGAGATGTCTTAGCTTCGATTCTCGCCAAAGGCGAATTTGAACCATATTTTTGCTAGCCACTATGAGGCTTAGCCCACTCTTTCACCCTTTAATGTAGATAATATCCTTTATTAAAAAAAAAATTGAATATAAAGCCAACTTAACAAATCTATGCGACACAACATTAGCATTTCTCTGAATATACCGCAAAACTGCTTTGATATCCTCTACTAAACCAGTTAAATGTTTAATTTTATTTTTTTAGTTCATTTAATTTTTTTTTTTGATAATATAACCGTAATTAATTAAATAAACACGTGTAATGATACAAGGGGTGGAGGGTAAGAAAAATCGGACTCCACAAAATCAATTGTTTCTATAATTGGTTTACGCGGCCTAAAACTGTAACCGAAAAATAAATCACCCGTAAATTAATTTTAAAAATAACGAGACATGTATCCACATGAATTGCATCCCCTCTTCTAACCCTAGCTATCCGGCCACAGAACAATACTTGTAATATTCACAATATTCCTAATAATTCACAATATTCCTATCTTTTTATTACATTATGTACCGATAAATTTTTATGTGATTGTAATAATTTTTGTTTATATTATGAATTTGTTCGTATTTTTTACCCATGTATATAAATGGGTGCAATATTTTTTGTTCATATTATGTACCCATGTGTTTGTTGTCATAGAATGAATCCATATTCATTTTTGGGTACATTACCATAAATGTTATTTACAATTATTTTGAACATTATGGATAAATTCCTTTGACATTTATAGTTACAAACTTATATTGTTACATTGCTTCTTATCCATTTATTCAATAGAAAAAATTTGAAATTTTTATTTCTTTTATTGGCTAGCCGTTTCTAATTTATGTGCCATAAAATTAAAATTTTTATTTTCAAAAAGTTGTCAAATACATGGACATATTAATAGGAATATGGTGAGGTTTA